GATGCCACAGGTTTACAGACGTAAGAAAGGGAGACGACTTTGGGAGGATTCTTATTCCTGATATACATGACTGATTATTTTTTCTATGTTAAGTTGAAGATTTCTTCCACCTCATACTCTGAAATTTTTATATCAATGATATTTGTGATTTATTTTCATTTTTCATTTCTTTTGTTTATTTCTGCTAAAGCTTACTGATATTTGTAGTGTAAGAATGTTTCCTTTTTGTCGACGTAATATAAACTTTATGTTTTTTTACAACAAAATTTGGCACAGAATGAAAAATTAATGATATAATTGATTTTCATGAATTGACTAAGTAACTACGAAAATAGGATCTTCTTATATGTGTTGAATAAACGAACGAATAAACAGTGATTTTAAGAAGATACAACCTTTTACCATAGGAAAATTGCGAAACCCAATATAAGTACTGGGTCAGTGTCATCCTGTTGAAGGAATCATTTAAAGTGGTTAGGAGGGCTGTATAAAAAAAAGTGCTCAATTTTAGCTGAACTACGTTATTGCTTTAAGTTTGATAGTGACTTTTTACCAAGGCTGAGCATTTTGAAACTAAATGATCAAACTTAGTAGTCTAATATATAATAAATTACATCACTTGACAATAGTGATCTTCCATACCTTCGAGATAACTTATCCCGTATAAAATTTTATCTTTCGGACTTTATTATATGTACTCATACTGCATCCTACCTGACTTACATGGGGATTGCAACTAGTGCCCCTGAAAAGAAGAAAAGAAAAAATATCTGTCACTATTTTTATTTCATTTATCTTGTTGCAAAATCAACTGTTTATTTATTAATTGGTGGATCTTGAGTTGCCTCAGAGTAATTCAATTCTTATGCTCTCAGAAAAATTCTAACAGAGTAGCTGCACTAGTGGTCTCACGACTTTTTGTCCAGCATCTTTTTGTGGAGGTATTAAAATTCCGAATCGTTGAATTTTCTCCTTCCTGAGTTACATTTTATTTTGCTACAAACGCAAATGAACTAGTTGATTTCAGGGTGAAATGTAGTTCAAATTTGTAATCAGATGAAGCTTTTGTTGCGACAAATGATATTTCGTACCCTATTGGACTGTGACGTCCACTTGGACCTGTTTCTTCTCTAACTGGCCTTCCTTTCTCTGAATACAGATGAGAAGCATTCTATCAGAGAGAGAATGCTCTAATTAGAAAACAGTGGAAAATGGCTTGGGAAGATTGCCTCTGTAAACTGCTGTCACCTACCTTTTTTTCTCCCTAATACAATTTTGGCAATTGAATGATCTATTTCGACTTTTATTTATGGTCAGGGTTGTGAGTTAGAGGTTACCTAGGTCGCACATAATTCTTTCAGAACCTTTTCTCCAAGAAGTTTACCCTCCTTCCCGAAAAGGTGCATTCCCATCTCATGACCTCTTTTCACTGATATAATATAAAGGCTTCTCCTTGCCCTTTCTCAACTTAGGCTGTGCGTCTTGAATATTAGTTCCATCTCGCAACGCCATCGAAATTGTGGCTTAACAAGTGGATTGTTAGGACAAATTTCCTTGTTATTCGAGCTTCTCTGATTCCAGTTATCTCTCCGATAAAAGTTGATTATGAGAGTATTGAATAGAACGCTCTTATAGTATTCATTTTATTTTTTATTACTTATGTTTACCTCAGGAAGCGTGCCTGAGCCGTTTTGACAAGTCCTCAAATTACTTTGATCGTTGACAGGTTGAATGTCTGTCGTTCCACTGCAAATTATTGAGAGAATGTAATTCAATATGTTGCTACCTGAGCTGTTCTCCACGTCAAGAGAAATATCTTGAAAATATCAGGGGAAAGCTGAAAACAAAACTGATCTAAGCGAGCAGTTTGCTAGGTAATTGACTTTCCTTAACATCTATATTGATGCTTCACATCATCCCTACCTCTTTGCTTCCTCTTCCTCTTCTGATGAATTTATCTATAGAGATAGAAAAGGAGGCTAAATCACCAGTTTCATTAGCCCATGGATGGCAAAAGTACTTGAATTAAGGAAAAGAAAATTTGAAATAACATCAGGAAAAGCTATCAGATACATATCTTGGTGTCGGGCTCTTAAAATAAAGGTTTCTTTGAACACTCACCTCTCTATCTTTTTGCTCCATGAGTCTGAAACGAAAACGTTGGAATACTTATTTAATGAGCAAAAGCTGACTCGGTACAGGAGACTATGCGAACAGAACTTTGTCAGTACCTTTGCTAGGAAGTACACATTTGATTCGCCCAATATAAAAAACAGTAACATGGATTAAATTGGAGTGGTCGTCTTTGACATCATTTCTGCCGATGAATGAGTCTTTGTTCTTGGCTTTAAGTTTGTAAAGGCAAGCCAAATTTCGTTTGAAAGCTCAGCAGGTTAATGTCTGAAACACGTCCTGCATACTACTAGGATCAACAATGTCGAGAGAATAACAAATATGATAAATTTCAGCTCAGTAATGAGAGGGAGGGAGAGTGAGAGAGAGACAAAAGGTTCAAGTTTCGAGTAATAAGATTTAAGGACAAAATTTCCGGCCGTCCATATCATTGTAAGGTGTATAATGACATTGCTCTCTGTGCGCTGAATATCCAGTTTGTTTCGTCTAGGAGAACGGTTTTATGAACAATTCTACAAAGCCAAAGCTTTGCGAAATTTCGCCGTTTATCACTCTTTGCACATGCTGTACCACGCTGTGTCAAATCGTCGGCGTGCTGTGCTGTCGAAGCAACATTGAAATCATGCGTGGTGAAACACTGATCTGTCGAAACTATAATCTCAGCGCCCGGTGGACTTATTGTTTCGAATAAAGCCTTATTTAAAAGTTATGTTGTCTAAGTATAGTCCTTAGGGACAACAGTGACTCGTTTAAAATCGTAAAAGTTATGAAAACCTGCTGAGAAAGCATTCTGACCACGACAATTTTCAATTGACAGTGCATGCATGTTGTATGTAGGAAGATGCTGTTCATTCATTGTTTCTCGCAAAAAGCAAATGGCAAATCTTAGTTATCTTTCTCAATGGAACCAACTGTAGGCATCACACCCCAAGTGAAGTAATCTTGGTGTTATAGCCTAAGGAACATACCGAGCAACAAGTCTCTGTTACGTGTCTCTACAGTAAAACTCTCACCGAGTACTGCTACCTAAACATGTCTTCGTTCCCGTACAGAGGCATTAGAGACTAATAAAGAGGACACAAGGACATCAATCACAAAACTTTCCAGATGCGATGATCTGTTATTAACTTTATTGGTTACCTTTATAAAGTTTCCTGCGGGACACACCTGTAACTTGGAATCTTTAACGCTCTGCGTCGGCATCTGCTCTTTCGACTACACCACACGTGCGTCAATTTTTAGATGGAGCGCAATTAGTCATATGCCACCACGTGACTTGCATACTTTAAAATCCATATATTACCCGAGGAACGATTGGCTCACAAGATTTTGAAATAAGCTCGGTCTAAATAATTGAAGCAAGATATTGATAGGTAGATGTCAAACGCTTTTTCAAGGACCTGCTGTTCGTCGCCATTGTGTGTTTTGATTCCATTGTTGGCTGTCCGTGGGAACGCTGTGATGGCTATTTCGCTTGCCGTGTGGCGCTCTAGAAAGAGATTTTTCTCTAAGTTTTGACACAAGTCTTCAAAGAAATTGTGCAAAGGAAAAAAAGTTTGTGCAGTGTTGGACCAATAATGTTACCCTTTCTTCCCTTGGGATAAGATGTAGCAGTTAATCCACACCTAAGGTGTTGTGGTGGATATTTGGGAAGCTTCCTTTTTGTGACATAAGCAGAATTTGCTATTGATTGAGGGACGTGATCCACTCTAAATTAAGGTTGCAGACACTCTGGAAAGAAACGCTACATATGGAACGACAAAAATTTGCATTTCAAAAATGAAACGGTTTTAAAAGACAAATGTCTTCATATGATTGGTTGAACGTAGCACTTTATCGTTTAACTTCGCTTGGCTTCATTTGTGACATTGAAATTTACATTTTAAACGGGCATTTCCACTGAAAGGCAACCTCTTCCTTCAGCGTATTTTTGCCAGTTCAGTCTACTGCTTTTACGACTTTTCTTTTCTTGGTGTGGAATGTTTTATGTCCAATTTTCTATGTCAATTGTTTGGTACGAAATACTCGTCTGGCTGTCACGCAACTTTTTTAACGGATTCTCGAGGATAAATACATATTGTTGTTTTTTCTAGTGGATGTTTGCCGCTGTCTCAAAATATTGCTGAAGCAAAAATATGGCGGCAAAAAGAGGCTTTCGAAGCGTACATTTCCAGTGATAAATTTGAGGCTTATTTGGCCGAGACATTGCCAAGTCTTTGCTTAGTTATGTTATTTGTGATGGGAAAGGGAATACATGAATGCAACACTAAAAGAAACAGTATGTATATGCTATGCAATTTATCTTCTTTAGTACATGTAACGACCGCGACCAACACCTTTTGTCTTGAAGTGGCTGTTAAAGAAGAGTGTAATCACGGTTTCGTGCTGCTAAATAAAGACTTTGAAAAGAGTACGGCAGCTGTACGTATGCGTCATAACGTTGTTCAGTGTTGAGTTTGGTTCAGAAGGCTAAGGTTGAAGATTGAGCTTCATTTCCGTTTTTTTGATATTCAATCAATAGCAAGATGCTAGGCCTGCGAATGGTTTACTAACTACAGTTTTGAGTTCGAGCATTCGTGAATTTTCCTGAAAAATGACTTTCCTTTTTTTCTTCTTTGTGTTATTCTTGATCTCTCCTTCACTTTTGGGTGCTTCAAATAATGAATTGTTTGATACTTTCTTAAATTGCTTTACAATAGCGTTTAGAGAGAAACTTTATCCACTTTTTGGGATGCTAACAAAGTAACTCGCATGAGCTTGCATGAAATTGTATTAAGAAAGTTCTGCTTCCATCGAGAGTGCGAGAGATATAATCCAGTTTTACATACTCACATGAACCCGCACCGGATACAGACTTTCACGTGACACGTTTATCATAAATGTTAAGAAATATTTGTAATGGCACAGTTGGTACTTTTAAGTCAAAGGTAAATAAAGCTCTGCATTTTTAGTGATGATGGAATTACCTTCCCTTAATTATTGATGGGAAATGTTGTTGGTGTAACTGTATAATACAGGTACTAATAACATTTGAATATTTTATTTGAAATGCATGATATAATTTAATGATCAATATATGTTCTTGTATGTGAAGTCTTTATTACTATTAACACAAAATATACAGTTTTCAAAGAGAAACGTTTCAAGGAAGTATTTCAGTAAGTTGCAGTGAACTTGACTGTAAAGCAATTAGGGAGTTTCCTCTCTTTCACTCATTCCCCTCTCTTGGTATGTTATGTCTTATGAGTACCACCACGTTTCCCAGACAAAGTAAAGCGTAAGAAAGTGTTATTGTGAAGGTGAACAGACAACCTGCGACTGAAAATATAAGCGGCACAAAGTGAGTAAGTTGGTCAAATGTGTTTCTTAGCTTTTCATGAAAAGTGCCCACTCAGTCATACAAAGCTTTTATTGCACAGTTGAACACCAATTTATAATCATAACTGAGGTCAATTCGTGAGTATGGAAAGGTAGGGCTCAGCTGCACTAAAACTTAAGTACTGCTCTTTTTTTAGGGACTCATATTTAGAATGGAATCAGCACAGTGTTTGTATGTGTTACTTAGAAATCAAGTTATTTGATACCTGTGTCATAATGAGGATTTTCATTCCTGATATACATGACTGATTATTTTTTCTACGTTAAGTTCAAGATTTCCTCTATCTCATACTCTGAAATTGTTATATCAATGATATTTGTGATTCATTTCGTTTTTCATTTCTTTTATTTATTTCTGACAAAACTTACTGATATTTATAAATGTCAGAATGTCTCATTTTCCTCGACATAATATAAACTGTTTTTTTACAACAGAATCTAGCACAGAATGAAAGATAAATGATATAATTGATTTACATGAATTGACTGAGTAACTACGAAAATATGTTCTTAAATGTGTTGAATAAAAGAACGCGTAAACAGTGATTTTAAGAAGATACAACCTTTAATTTAACAAAGGAAAATTGCAAAAGCTAAAATGAGTACTGGGTCAATGTCATCCTGTTGAAGGAAGCATTCAAAATAGTAAGAAGAGCTGTATAAAAAAAAGTGCTCAATTTTAGCTAAACTACATTATTGCTTTAAGTTTGACAGTGAATTTTTACCAAGGCTGAGCATTTTGAAACTAAATGATCAAATTTAGTAGTCTAATACATAGTTCGCGATTTTTACCATCCCTCAACAGTCACTTAAATTACATCACTTGACAATAGTGATCTTCCATACCTTCGAGATAACTTATCC